CGCCAGGGCCTGAAGACCTTCTCCAACTGGCCCACCTACCCCCAGCTCTACGTCAGGGGCCAACTGATCGGGGGCCTGGACATCGTCAAGGAGCTGAAGGAGAGCGGGGAGCTGGTCTCCGTTCTGAGGGGCGAGTCTTAGGGGGGAGCAGAGGACACTGAAGGGCCCCAGACAGCAGGGGCCCCAAAAAGCAAAGGAGAAAATTAGTTCTGGATTGTTTTTCTCTAGAAGACCCATAATGCATCACTTCAGTAAAGCCAGATTCTGCTGGAAGCACAAAGGAAACTTTCACCTCCTGCTGTTTCACCTCCTCCAGTTTAGTAAACAACTCCTCATCCTCTCTTTGGCTCCTGGGATCTTCCTGTCATTCCTCCTAAAACAATCATTAAACCGTCTCTAAGGACCTGCAGTGTTTGCTTGTGTTGTCTCTGCTGTAGATCTGTCTTCTTTATAAATCCTCCCTGAATAATTACCTGAACGCTGGTGTCCTCCTGCAGCTGACCTGCAGGAGTTGCAGCATCTGTATCTCAGGCGGCTGCAGGAGCTGCAGCTGCTGTATCTCAGGCGGCTGCAGGAGCTGCAGCTGCTGTATCTCAGGCGGCTGCAGGAGCTGCAGCTGCTGTTTCTCAGGCGGCTGCATTTAAAACACTCAAGAAAGCAAAGCACTGAACAGGTTTCATGTCAAAAACATTAAGACATAAAAATCTTTTATACACCTGAAGTGAAACCGTTTTTGAATCATTAGTTGTTATAATTCTCCAGTATTCATCTTTCAAATCCTTTTATTTACATGATATATTAATATTGATGTAATAATAAATGGGGAGCTGCTGCTGCCTGTTGGTTATGAACTCAGGATGTTTATCAGGAATTTAACTGATTAAATAGATGAAACATTATTTTTCAAAGGGAAACTGGTTTGAAAATAGTTAATAAATCTAAACATGGAAAAACATAAACAGCCTCCTTTGTGGACAGTAACGGTTTGGTTTGAGAAAAGTTTTCTATGTAAGAAGTGCTGAATGTGGGATGATTGTGAAATAAAAGCAGGTGAGGTCAGTCGGAGGCCTTCAGCACCTCCACCTGTCTGAACTCCTTCCTCACTGATTGACCCGGTGAACAGATGCTCCTCACACAGACATCAGTCCTAACCTGACAACAGCCAGATGCATGTCTCACTCTGGGCGGAGCGAGACATGCATCTGGCTGTTGTCAGGTTACATCAGTCCAGGATGATCAGGTTTCTAGTAGCAGCATATCTGAGTGGAGAGTTTGTCGCCACCTTGTGGAAGTAGGAATGATTACAATAACAAGCAGCCTGCCAGTCCTTCGCTCCATCTGTCTCCTGCTTATTGACAGCATCAGTTTTTTATCCTCTTGTTGATTTAAAAAAACTTTTCTATTGAAACAGAAACCTGATTTAAAATCATAAATGTTCAGTGAAGTTTTAGCTGCGATGCATATTAATATATCACTTTATTGGTAGAGTAAGCTAACCCTAACATGAGGCCAGTCAGCCATAGTATTCAAATGTTTAGACATTAATCAACCTAAAGTGAATAGATTAACATTTATTATACATATTAAGTGAGATTTAGGTCAGATAATTAGGCATTAATAAAACCAAACTATATCTTTGATGTTTCTAGAGAAAAGATTGACTTTTGAAAATATTTACACTGAGAGATTGTATTGGTTCCCAGTCAGGCAATAACAGACACCTACTGGGATCATCCAGACAGCTGCAGCTTTGCTTCTACATCAAAACTACATCAATACAGCAAAACTATAGAAGCTGCTGTACATGAAAATAACAGGAAAAGACAGAAAAGCACTGGACAGTGGCATATTAAATAAAGATTATTTATACCTAAATATAAACTCTAAATGCTAAATTAGAGTCTAGATCAGGAGTCTTCAATGTTTTCCAGGCCAAGGACCCCAAACTGATGGAGATGGAGCGGGGCCTCCTGATTATATATATAGTATGAAATAGTGTTCTATCAAACTGGTCCTATAGTCACTCTATTACAGATCAAGTAATGTAACTAAAGTAATCCCTCCCTGGGATTATTAAAGTATTCCTGATTCCTGGTTGATGGGACAGGTGTTGTGAATGAAACGG